TGGTCATGCAACGTATTAAGCAGTCATTATAAAATAAACACCTCTCAAGTGCCCCAGGGGTACAAAGAATAAGTAGGGATACAAAAGAAGTCCAAAAACCATTTTTTGGGGCAACTTTTACTGGCATCTATCAAAGAACTATGAAACCAGGCTTTCATTTTTTTCATTTCAAGAGAAAGTGGTGTGCAGAAAAAGGAATGGATTCTAAAGATTAACCCTATACTGAGTCCTGATTCTGCTGAATATTAATTGCTGTTGTTAAGTGCTGTTGAGTCAGTTCAGACTTACAGCGACCTTGTACTGGGTTTCCGAAAAAGAGCGGCTGGCTGGTGGGTTTGTCCTGCTGTGCTTGCAGTTAGCAGTCCAGTGCTACTCCTACATAACCACACCAGGACTCCACATACTAGCTGAGCAAACCTTATTTATATAATCTCTTAATTTAAATTTCCTCACTTGTATATATGCAAGGAAATAGCATATTTACCTTGCAGGAGAAAGATGAGGCTTTCTGCTCCTGAACAGATTTATAGCCTCAGAAGCCCTATGTTGTTGTTGTTGTTATGTGCCATGGAGTCAGTTCCAACTCATAGTGACCCTGCACAGGGTTTCCGAGGCTGTAAATCTTTATGGGAGCAGAAAGCCTCATCTTTCTCCCATGGAACTTCTGGTAGTTTCGCTATAAATTGGAACAAACCTGACGGCACACAACCAACCAACAAACCAACCATTTACCTTGAGTGGCAGATTAAATAATGTGCAGTTACCTCTATATGTGAAGGTATGTTGTTAGGTGCCATCCTGGCACACAGTTTTGTTAAAGAAATAATTGTTATAACACTATCCAACAATACTTAGGAATTAACTACATCCAATTTGGCAGTGTGAATTATGAAAACTCAAGAAAAATTACAAACCTCCATTAGCATGCAAACTGAAAGCAAGCGATCATGAAAAATAGTTGGAAGGCTAAGTCACTCGAGGAATGATCAAGGGAATATGCTCACTTCAGAGTAAGAGATGAGGAAGTGGAAAAAGGGGAAGGGGAGGCAAAAAACAAAGTGAGTAGAAGGAGAAATAAAGGGGGAAGCTTTGAAATTGGTGCAAGTGACACGTAATAAATCAGAATGACTAAGAAACAAGAAAGACTAAGTCCTAGAATACCTGCAAAGGAATAAGACATACAACTTAAATTATTTCCAGGATAATAACCATGAATTAAAAAAAACACAATGGGTCTCAAGTCACAAGATCCAAACCCTAGGTCCTTGATGGTCCTACCACAAACCCAGGCTGTCTAAGAGTAAGTAGATTTGAGCCTTAGTTTTCTCATTTATTAAAAGAAAATATTATTCCCTGTCCTAGCTTGCCTCCCACTCACTGGCATCAAATCCATTCTGATTCATAGCAACCCTATATAGGGTTTCTGAGACTGTAAATCTTTATGGGAGCAGATAGTCTCTTCTTTCTCCATCAGAGTGGCTGATGAGTTTGAACTGCCAACTCTGTAGTTATTAGTCTGGTGCTTATCCTACAAAGTCACCAGAACAGAATTATCTGGGTCTCAGTTTTTTCAACTATAAAGGGGGTGGGGAAATTTTTTTTTGCCAAGGGCCATTTGGATATTTATAACAACATTCGGGGGTCATGCAAAATTATCAACTTAAAAATTACTATTATTTGGTCAAACATTTAATTAACTCACCTCTAACTGGTCACAAAAGGAGCTCTGGTAGTGTAGTGGTTACAAATCGGGCTGTAAACCTTAAAGTCAGCAGTTCGAAACTACCAGCTGCTCCGTGGGAGAAAGTTGAGGCTTTCTGCTCCCGTAAAGATTTACAGCCTTGGAAACCCTGTACAGGGTCGCTGAGTCGGAACCAACTCCATGGCACATAACAACAACAATGTGATGAGCTGTGGATCAACACTAGACTGTGAACTTCACAAGGTCACCAGTTCAAGCCCACCAGCTGCTCCTTGGAAACTCTATATAGGGTAGCTATGAGTCGGAACCAACTCGCTAGCTGCTCCTCAGAAACCCTATACGGGATAGTTATGAGTCGGAACCAACGCAACAGCACTTAACAACAACAACATGATGGCTGGAACTGCGGTTGCCTTAGCAGGGCCAGACCAAATAATTTCACAGGCCAGATGATTCCCACATCTGAACTATAAGATGAAATCAATATAATCTTGCCTAGTTTATGATTCAATAAGAGAAGACAGTCCATTCTTGGACTAACTTGAGACTTAGGTGAGGGCTTGCCTAATATTATCAAAAGGACGTAGAAAAAAAAAGTATAGGCAAATAAACCATTTTCCTATACGTATCACATAAAATTCACTAAATAAAACCACATGCTCTTCTCCTCCCAATACTTTAAGAAATCATCTTTAAAAACTTTATTTGCAGGATAAGGAGTTAACCTAAATCACGAAGTCCAAAGTACCTTTTAAAAAATGACAAGTCACTGAAAAGGTTACGTTATTAACAACTATATAATCTTCTAATCAGATTTCTCCTGTATTTTCTCATGGCATTTTTTCCCCAGTTCTTTCTGTTCAGAGAAATGTTTTTGACACTATGAGAAGCTCAGTTCTAAATATATGCTGTAGAATAAGAGCTGGACTACAAGGTCAGTTTGAACCACAATGTTGGCAGCTCAAACTTACCAGAAACTCCTCGAAAATGCTATATAGGATGGCTGAGTTGGAACCGCCTCGATAGTACTTGGCAAGCAAAAAAGCATAAAAAATTTCTTTAAAAATATTTCTATAATATTTATACAGAGTGCTGTATAAATGTTTATACAGGAATGACATTTTAGTTTTTAAAAGACAGAAATTGAGATACAAATCAACAATAAATGTTACATTAATTTTAAACCCAGGTTAAAATGAACCCTAGGTTAATTCTCACAAATAATCTGTTATGGGTTAGTTTCCAATAGGGCTTCAAACCGATTCATTAAGGTTGAACCCCCTTTGAGAAGTTGCCTTTCCACCCCAGATATACTGAATCATAACCTACAGTTTATTGAATGAGATCCCCAGCTTCTTGTTATACATCTGAATCACCTGGGAATCTTGTTAAAATGTAGATTCTGATTCAGTATACCTGGGGTGGAAATGTAAATTCTCAGTGGGGATAGAACCGGAATGAACCAGTTTGAAAGTCCTGGTTTCCAAACTGTCTTTAGTCATGTTATAGTCTTACCTTTCTTTCAAAGCCAAAACAATCCTCATTTTCTCTTCTATGTAGCCGTCTACCACATTTCTTTTTATTAGGCATCTATGAATCAATCTATCTCCTGTCAAAGTTTTCTCATTTCTTCTACTATACATCATAGTCAGGTCACCGCTTCAATTCTTAGTTTCCTTTCCTAGTTTCCCCAAGCATTTCCACTACCTCCATACCCCCTTTGTTTTAACTAATAGGATACTTCTTTCCCTTCATTCCTAGGGTTTACTTTCCTATTACTGTATCTCTCATTGCCATTCCATTTTTTAAACCTGTTTTTGCATATTATTACTTCTTCAGAACCTAAGATTTCTCTTCATTAGCCTCAATCCCAGAATGTCAATCAACCCATCTCTGGAGTACTAAACATAGACTCTTGACTACCTCATACCTAAACATCCTCCTTAATCCTTTTCTAAAGCCACTAGTCCTCAGTATTCTGATACTACAAACACCCCTCACTCCTTACTAAGCCTATCCATTTAATGCAGCTTCACCCTTTCTAGCAAACTTTTTTCCCCCACAAACATTTTCTTTTAAATGGCTATTCCCAATGTTTTATGACTTCTAAGTCTTACAAAGGAGCTCTGGTACCACAGGGTTACAAATCGGCCTGCTAACTTCAGGATCAGCAGTTCAAAATGACGAGCTGTTCCTGGGGAGCAAGGTGAGGCTTTCTGCTCCTGTAAAGATTTACAGCCCCGGAAACCCTGTACAGGGTTGCTATGAGTCGGAACTGACTCCACAGCACATAACCACCACCACTAAGTCTTACAAGGTCTGTGCCCAGCAAAAATCTACTGTCTTTTTTTTTTTTTTTAAATGCTTCCCAGACTTTGCCTGTGCAGCAATTTCATTCACTAAGCCCTGGTGTGGCGCTGTAGGATCAGCACTGGACTGAGAACCAAATGGTCAGCAGTTCAAACCCACCAGCAGCTCCTTGGAAACCCTATACAGGGTAGCTGAGAGTTGCAACCGACTTGATGGCACTTAACAACAACAGGGCCCATGGCCATTCTGTAAACTCCTCAAACCTCTCCCTCATCACTCTTCCCCTTGTTTCCCCCAGCTTCTCAGAACGTTGCTGTTACCCTGAACAATCTTCCTGGCTATATTCCCCATCTTTCCTTAGGCCTACTCTCCACATTTTCTCTGTTCACCCTTAAGAGACCTAATCTCTTAGTCACCCGTCACTCCCTGAACCTGTCTCTTACACCTCTGGGAACACTGTCTGGAACCTTCCTCTCCTCCTTCCTTCCCCAACCCTGTCTCAAGTGTTCCCTCTGCCCGTCAGCTTTTTTCTAAGACATGTTCTCACAGCCTTCTTACTACTCCAAACCTTCCCCTAGTTGTTCTCCCATTTCCTCTCAACTTTTCTCTCATTCCTAATTTCCTTCAACACTCCCTGGAAGATTTCCCCCTACCTTTGTCACGTCTCTCCTCCCTTTCCTCAAACCTCTTTCATTCCTTCCTCTGGACGTGTCTTCCCACATCCTCTCGGTTTCCCTAATCTTTGCCTTATTCTCTTTTCCTTCAATGTTGCTATTCCCCTAAATTTCCTTCAAGCCTCACTCTGATGGTGTCCTCCAATTTCCGTTGACCTGGAGACTCCCCTGATCCCCCCAGATTTACCTTCTCCTCCAATCCAAACCTCTCTCAGGCCGCTGCCTTCCCTCCCCTGCCGCTCTAAAAGCCCAGAAACGCCATTCTCCAAAAGGCTGGGCCTGGCCTCTAGGGAGAAGGGGTATGGGTCACGTACCCCATTCGCATCTTGGCTCCACTTTCACTGCCCCCGCTACCGGGGAGGGGAGGGCGAGAGGGCAGGCGGCCAAGGTGCATGCTCTTCTCGAGGGTCGACATGAAAGCGAGGCCGCACGTAATCAAACAGCAGCCAAAGCTTCGACGCAGGCTAAGTGTGGCCCAGCCGGTCACAAATCTCTCCCCTAGCGACGCCCAGTCGCCTTTAGACAGCCCCCAGCTACCGGCAGCACCGCCTACCGCCCACCGGCTCCGCAAACTCCGCCCCCGTCCCCTCAGCGCCTCCAACGGAAGTGCGCAACAGCACTTCCACAAAGGAAGCTGGGTAACGGAGTCTGCGGACCGTTCAAACCCCAAGCGGAGAACTCGACGACCCACGCCGGAAAGAGAAGCGCTTCTAAGGGCAATGCAACCTGGGCAATGGAGTCGTATAAGGGCCTAACGCTTCGCGCTTGCGCAACGGGAGGTGACCGACTGCAACCCCACAAAGGTAATGTAGCAAAGCATCCTGGGTGTTGTAGTCTATTGGCGGGAAGGCGACGTGGTGCCTTTCTCACGACTAACCAGAGACTGTTAGAGGAAGAGTTGCTTCTAGCTTCCTCCCAGGCAGCCCAGCGGCACCGGTTGCTGGGGAACACTGGCGTGGTGGGAAGGGATGGCGGGAGGATAAGACATCGGTGCCAGGTCCGGAGCTAAATTGGTGAAAAAGCTTGTGCTCGGCATGAAACAACGAAAAGGCCAGGGACCTGGGGGTGGCTGTGGCCGCAAGAAGAGAGGTAACTTGATCAAAAGCTAAGGAAATGGTAACTGGGCGGGATTTGGGCTAGGAGCCAGATGTAAAAGAAAGAAGAAAGAATAATCAGTAATCAGAGAGTCAGAAAGTTGAGAGAGAGCGCAATTGGTAAGGCAAAGAATAAAAATGAAATAGGTACTAGGTTGGGAGGCTAAAAACGGGAACATCTCGAGGGCAGAGAAACAAATTCCAGGAGCGCTTTTTTTGTTTTGCTTTAACTTTTTGTTGTGATTTGTGTATAAGTTTATAGAGCATATTGGTTTTCCACGCAACATTTCTTACACATTTTTATTTTTGACATTAATTGCTATCCCCACAGTATAACAGCATTCTTCCTACTTCCTATGTTTATGGTTCTCTTTGTCTTTCTTCCCAAGCCCCGCCTGCCTTCTGAACTTTGTTGTTGTTGTTATGTGCCATCGAGTCGGTTCCGACCCATAGCGACCCTGTATAGGGTAAATGCTGCCTTTTTTTATTGCTTCTGGTTGATTGCTTTAACGAGTGTGTACCTCGTTGGTGTTATTGTTCACCTTTTAAGCCTATCATTTAGTTAAAAGTTGAGCACGAGTGAGTTCAGTTTTTGATAACAAAGGGGTGTGTGTGTGTGTATGTGTGTGTAGGGGATTAATAGCTTTGGCTTTCCACTCCTGTAAAGATTTAAAGCCTTGGAAAACTTACACAGGGTCACTGTTAGTTGGCACTGCCTTCACAACAGCAGCAATAGCAGGGAGTTGGAGGAAGCATAAGTTGAAGAGGGAATAGTTCAGTGGGCAAAGAAAGGATGTTTGTACATTATTGTAACCCCAACAACTAGAAAGCACTAGACCATAAGGTTGGTTTGAACTGCAGGGTCAGTAGTTCAAACTCACCAGCCACTCCTCGGAAATCCTATACAGGGTGACTTGATGGCACTTAACAACAACACCAAAATGACTAACATAAAGAAGGACTCAATAGATGTTGAATGAATGAAGCAAGTGAGACCTGCTAGTGTGGGAGTTAAGAGTTCTGAAAGAGAGAGGCAGACGAGTGGTAGTGAGAAGATACAAAAATTAAGATCGCTATGGTAGTGTAGTGGTTATGAATCGGGCTGCTAACCTTAAGGTCAGCAGTTCGAAATTACCAGCCGCTCCATGGGAGAAAGATGAGGCTGTCTGCTCCCATAAAGATTTACAGCCTCAGAAACCCTATACAGGGTCGCTATGGGTCGGAACCAACTCAACGGCACTTAACAACAACAATAACGTGAATCATTAGATTTAGGCAATGGAGTAGTGACAAAATGTGCTAGGGTGGGAGTGGAAGTGAAGGCAGGATCTTCTGAAGAACTTGAACTGACTAGCGTGGGGAGAGTTAGAGGGCGGGCAGCCAAGATGTAAGAGGACCTCATTAGGTTGTTGTTGCTAGGTACCGTCGACTCAGTACTGACTCATAGTGACCTTATGCACAGCACTGCCCGTTCCTGGTTCCTGAGCCAACCTCATTACTGTTGCCACACTTGAGCCCATTGATGCTGCCACTTTGACAATCCATCTCGCTGGGAGTCTTCCTCTTTTTCTCTGACCCTCCACCTTACCAAACATGATATCCTTCTCCAGTGACTGGTTCCTTCTGACAATATGTCTGAAGTATGAGAGGCAAAGTTTGGCCATCCTGGCCTCCAAGGAGCACTCTGGCTGCACTTCTTCCAACACAGATCTGTTTGTTCTTTTGGCAGCCCATGGCACTTTCAATATTCTCCTCCAACACTGTAACTCAAAAGCATCAATTCTTCTACAATCTTCCTTATTCACTTTCCAGCTTTTGCATGCATATGAGGTGATTGAAAATGCCATAGCTTGGGTCAGGCACACCTTAGTCTTCAAGCTGACATCTTTGCTCTTCAACACTTTAAAAAGGTCTTCTGAAGCAGATTTGCCTAATGCAAAATGTTGTTTGATTTCTTGACTGCTGCTTCCATGAGTGTTGATAGTTGATCCAAGAAGAATGAAGTCCTTGACAACTTCAATCTTTTCTCCATTGATAAGAATGTTGTTTATTGTTCCAGTGGTGAGAATTTTTGTTTTCTTTACATTGAGATGCAATCCATACCGTAGGCTGTGGTCTTTGATCTTCATCAGTAAATATTTTGGCTAGAAGTATTGTTGTTATGTGCCATTGAGTTGATGCCAACTCATAGTGTCCCTGTATAGGGTTTCCGAGGAGCAACTGATGAATTTGAACTGCTGACCTTGTGGTTCAAACTGACTTTGAAGTCCAGCTCATTAACCCACAGCACCACACCAGTACTCCAGTTAAAATTATAAGAATACCCGAGTCCTGGTGTGGTGCTGTGGGTTAATGCTCTGGACTGCAAAGTTGTTTTGAACAGCGGTTCAAGCTCACCAGCTGCTCCTCAGAAACCCTATACAGGGTTGCTATGGGTCAGAACCAACTTGATGGCATTTAACAACAACACCCAAAAGAACAGGAAGAACAGTCACCTTAAGAACTCAGGACAGATCGGAAAACTGGAAATTGGATCTCTACCGGGTTACCTCCAAGAAAAAAGAAAATTTGGTGACCCTGCCCTTTTCACATTATGGGCACTTTAGGGGCTCCTGTGAATGGTTACGTGCTCAACTACTAGCCACAGGATTGGTGGTTCTAAAGCACCCAGAGGCACCTAATGATCTGCTTCCAAAAAGTCACAGCCTTAGAAATCCTACGAAGCAGCTCTACTCTACATACTTGGGGTCACCATGACAACTAACTACAACAATGACAGAAAATGTGTTAGGAATAGTTATAATGCTTTAAGGCCATTGTATAAAAAGCTGAAGCTACTATGTAGGAAGTAGAAAGAAATCTTAATCAAACTTTTAAAAGATAGCTGTGGTGCTGTGGGCTAATGCGTCAGACAGCAAAGTTGTTTGAACTTCAAGGTTGGTGGTTCAAGCTCACCAGCTGCTCCTTGGAAACCCTATACAGGATCACTACAGATCGGAATCGACTCGACGGCACATAACAACAAGGCAGTTCAAATTTCTTGGCACAGATGTTTGAGTGCTTCCAATGCTGCATCAATTTGTTGTCAACTCCTGGATTACAAATTGAAATCTTGAAGCACTGGAAGTGTTCATTCATATATGCGAACAAATTGGGAAGGCAGCTGCCTGGCCAACTGATTGGAAGAGATCCAAAGAAAGGTGATCCAATGGAATGTGAAACTAATCTAACAATATCATTAATACTACATGCAAGTAAAATGTTGCTGAAGATAATACAAAAATGATTACAGCAATACATCAGCAGGGAGCTGCCAGAAATTCAGGCACTGTTTAGAAGGGGATATGGAATGAAGGATATTACTGCTTACATCAGATGGATCTTGGCTAAAAACAGAGAATACTAGAAAGATGTTTAACTGCTTTATTAATTATGCAAAGGATTTCAACTGTTTGGACCATGACAAACTATGGATAACATTGCAAAGAATGGGTATTCAAGAACACTTAACTGTGCTCATAAGGAACCTGTACACAGACCAAGCAGTTGTTCAGACAGAATAAGGGGATACTGGATGATTTAAAATCAAGAAAGGTGTGCACCTGGGTTGTATCTTTTCACCATGCTTATCCATCAGGATTGGAGGAAGACTCATTAGCACCATGAATAGCGACACAGCCTTGTTTACTGAAAGCAATGAGAACTTGAAATACTTAACTGATGAAGATCAAATACTACATACAGTCTTTGGTATGGATTTCACCTTAATGTAAAGAAAAAAAATCCTCACAACTGGACCAATAAATAACATCATGATAAATGGAGAAAAGATTGAAGTTGTCAAAGACTTCATTTTACTTGGATCCACAATCAACACTCGTGGAAGCAGCAGTCAAGAAATCAAACAACATAATGTATTAGAAAAAATTGCAGCAAAAAACCTCTTTAACGTGTTAAATAACAAAGATACCAGTTTGAGGACTAAGATGCACCTGACCCAAACCCCATGGTATTTTTAATAGCCTCATATGCGTGTGAAAGTTGGTTAATGAATAAGAAAGTTTGGAGAAAAATCAGTGCATTTATATTACGGTGTTGGAAAAGAACATTGAAAGTACCATGAACTTTCTTTCAGAAGAACAAACAAATCTGCCTTGGAAGAAGTGCAGCAAGACCTCATCTCTTGTACTTCAGAAATGTTATCAGGAAGGATCAGTGCCTAGAAAAGGACATCTTGCTTGGTAAATTGGAGGACCAACGAAAAAGAGGAAGACCCCCAACAAGATGGGTTGACACCTTGGCAACAGTAGTGGGCTCAAGC